GGGGAAGGGGAGGGAGAAGGAGAGGGAGAGGGAGAGGGATTGGGGATTGAACCCACAATCGGGTACGTGCCTGACCAGGATTTGAACCTGCAAGATTTTAGTGTACTAGAGTATGCCCAACCAACTAAACCACCTGGCCAGGGCGGATCTAATGATATTCAGCACAATCACTGAAAAGACTGTTTGTGCCTTATGTTTTGTAATGACAACTAAATCAAAACACTTTAATTTGCTGGCTAAACAAAACACCTACAAACTTGATTTTGGCCCAAAGGCCAGTAATTTATAGTAGTGCCTTAACTGCATTTTCACATTCGATTTTCCAAATGAGCTAAGGCGAGTGAGAGATATCTAGTGTTGCCTATCAGGAGCCAAGCATTGCACCAGATACTGGTGATAAATTGGTCAAAAAAGTTAGGAAGTTAAAGTCCTAGCACCCAGGAGTTTAAAGCTCAGTGAGACTTGAGAAAACATCATTTTATTTTAGTATTATAGGAATAAATAAAAGGCCTAAGTAGAGAGTAGGTTATGAGAAGAGGATTAGCCCTGGAAGGGTAGCTCAGTTGGTTAGAGCGACGATCAGATACACCAAGGTTGTGATCCATCCCTGGACAGGGTACATACAATAACCAACCAATAAAAAAATAAAAATAAAAATAAATGGGGGGAAAAAACACAAACAAGCATAAACAAATGGAACAAATCAATATTTCTCTCTTTTCCTCTTTCTCCCTTCCTCTCTTTCTAAAAGCAATAAATAAAAAAATAAAAAAGAGATTAGAAAGAATTTTAAATAATGGACGGGGGGGGGGTTAAAAGAAAAAAATGGGGAGAAGGAAAAAAAATGGGAGGATAGAACAAAAAAAGAACAGCTGAACAGCCCACCTCCATGGGGAGGATTGTTTGCAATGGCGCAGGGGCGGCAGCCAGCCTCCTCTCCCACAGCGCTGCTTCCCAGGCCGGAAAACCTGCCCCTGCGCCTGACGTCATACGACTGCGCCCAGTGCGGGGAGGGCGGGATTCCGGCCGCGAACTGATTGGCGAGCGGCGGTCGGTGCGGCGGTGGTCTGTGCGAGGCGGCGCTCGTGCTGTGCGGTCCCTGCGGCTTCAGCGGCGGAGCCCTGTCCCTGCGGTCCCGGTAGGGGCGTCTGTCGTCGCCTTGTGTGTGTGTGCGTGCAGGTGGGAGGCCGCGGGGGCCGCTCAGAGACTAGACTTAGCGGAGCATGTGCGCTCGGAAGGCCCCCAGTTCAGAGGAAGCCCAGGTTGATGCACAATGTGTGACTTTTTTTTTTCTTTTTTTTTTTGGATTTTTGGAAACTTTAGTTAGGAAAGTATCCGAGTGGTACCGTGCTGGGTTGGCATTGTACAGTAATTAACTGCCATATTGGTCTAGAAATGTTATATTTTTTCCGTTTGTACAGGGGTAATGCACTGTATTAAATATGTAAGGTCTTATCTACATGGGTTTGATTGCAGAAACTAAAAAAGCATTCTCTTAAGTCATAATAAAAAAAGGAAGCCCAGTGATTTAAGAGACTATAAATACTACGTTATCTGGATCAAGAACAGTGTTTCCCAAAATAATACCCTTTTTCACTTTTTTATATTTTCGGTTTTCATTTCTATGCTATCCCAAAAATCTTTACTAGTTACAGAGACAAAACTCAAAAAACTTTTTTCTGAAATCATTGTTTCTCATGAGGACTCCCAGTTAAATATTCCAAGGAGTGTAAATTGTTGTGTGTTTTTTTCTTTAGAAGTTGTCTGAACAGCCCTAGCCGGTTTGGCTCAGTGGATAGAGCGCTGGCCTGCGGACCAAAGGGTCTGGGGTTCGATTCCAGTCAAGGCATGTATTTTGTTTGCAGGCTGATCCTCAGCTCTAGTTGGGGAGCACTCAGGAAGCATCCAATTCATGTGTCTCTCTCACGTCAATATTTCTCTGCCTCTCCCTCACACCTTAAAAAAATAAGAGAGAAAGAAGCCCTAGCCGGTTTGCCTCAGTGGATAGAGCATCAGTCTGCAGACTCAAGGGTCCCAGGTTCGATTCCGGTCAAGGGCATGTACCTTGGTTGTGGGCACATACCCAGTAGGGAGTGTGCAGGAGGCAGCTGATCGATGTTTCTCTCTCATCGATGTTTCTAACTCTCTATCCCTGTCCCCTGTCCCTTCCTCTTTGTAAAAAATCAATAATAAAAATATACCAAAAAAAAAAAAAAAACACCAAACAAACAGAGAAAGAAAAGAAAATGGGGTAGAAGAGAAGTGAATGGATTCAAGAAGTATTTAGAAAGTAAAATGAATGTAACTCAAATGGATTTGAGAGAGGACAATAACAAATGACTCCCAGTTTCTGGCTTCAGCAAGTAAATGGATAGCAGTGTCCCTCCCTAAAACAGTGCGGGGAGAGCAGCAGATTGGGAAGGAAAGCAGAGAGATTATTTCAGCTTGTTGCATTTGAGGTGTCTTCTGATTCATGGTGATTGAAAAGAGAAAAAATAAAAAAGCCATAGAGAAAATGTTTAGATTGAAAAAAAAAAGGCTAAGGACAGAACTTGGAGGCACATCCACCTTTATTTATTTATTTTTTAAAATATATTTTATTGATTTTTTTACAGAGAGGAAGGGAGAGGGATAGAGAGTTAGAAACATCGATGAGAGAGAGACATCGATCAGCTGCCTCCTGCACACCCCCCACTGGGGATGTGCCCGTAACCAAGGTACATGCCCTTGACAGGAATCAAACCTGGGACCCTTGAGTCTGCAGGCCAACGCTCTATCCACTGAGCCAAACCGGTTAGAGCCACATCCACCTTTAAAGGGGGTGAGAGGATGGGGCATCTGAGCATCAGTGGATAGGTCAGAGGATGGAGACTCCAGAGCATACAGAGTCACTAAAGGAAGAAAATTTTCAAATATTTTAGTTGCATTTTATAAAAAGTTGAATTCCTTCTCCCCCCATTGCCACCCCCCCCCCCTTCAAATCTGGCCCTAGTTTCACATCTTTAAGGGTCTTCATTGTCTTGTGGACACCCAGACCTGTAGGATAAACTGTGGAGCTTATATATATTTTCCCTCATTTTGGACATTTTGTTGGCAATAACATTATTTGCTGCAAAATAAAGTCTGAACTAGGGAAAGGAGGTTTGTTTTAAAAGCAGTAGATCTCTTTATATTTCTGTTTTGAAAATGTGAGAGCCTTGGTACAGAAGCTCCCAAGTGCTTTTTTACCAGTTGTCATATTCTGTAACTTTTCAGCCCTTTGTCTTCACGTGTTGCTTATGGTACGGATCTTATGTTTGGGTCTGTACAGGGTGGGTGCCCCACTCTGTATCGGGGTTAGTATAGAATGGAGAAGAATACAACATCATGACCTTAGCCACATTAGTGTTATATAACTGTTACCTAGTAATATTGATTTTCTGGGCCCTGAAGGAAATTCAAAGTATCCTTTTGCCTAAAGCAATAGTGAAATTCATGTTTAAAATAAGAACCCAAATAAGTTTTACATTTTTGCCTAGTGACTGATCATAGACTCTAGGCCACAGGAGTCTAGGAAAAATTAATGGGGCAGCAAATAAAGTTGTACTAAGATTCCACTTTGTGTTTCAGAAATTGATTGCATTTGAATGTCTCAAATTTATACTTGTAGTTAGAGGGTTTTTTTAATTTTTAACTTTTCATGACATTTTTCTTCTTTTATAGGGGTTTTCTTACATGCCTGTTTTCCTCAAAATGAGTATTGGTATCACCTTCATAAGACCTTTTGCCAGAGTTTTGGTGCCATTTACCCTTAATAGGAAGAGAAGGGTTTTATATTCAACGATTCTGCACAGACACATGTCTTCCAAAATACCAGCTGAATCCTATCCTAAAAAGGAAAATACATCACCTGAACAGCTGGAATTGGATGGGTGGAAAATTACAATGAAATCTAGTGTGCAAGAAGGTGTTTCAACAGTCTCAAGTGCCAAAGATGAAGATCCTGTAGCTGCCACTAGGGAATTAATTGAGATGTGGAGATTGCTTGGCAGGGAAGTACCAGAACACATCAGTGAAGAAGAGCTCAAAACCATTATGGAATGTGATTCTAAATCATCAAAAAAAAAATATTTAAAATATTTATATCTTAGGGAGAAAATGAAGAAAGCTAAGGAAATAAAAAAGGAAATGAAAGCAGCAGCAAGGGAAAAAGCAATACAAGACCAGCTGCTAGAAACCACTAACCAGGATAAACAGCAAGACTTTCTATTTCTACGACTTTGGGATAGGAATATGGACATAGCAATGGGCTGGAAGGGTGCCCAGGCCATGCAGTTCGGACAGCCTTTGGTTTTTGACATGGCTTATGATGATTACATGAAACCAAAAGAACTGCAGTATACTGTTTCTCAGCTTCTAGAAAGCGAAGGATGGAACAGAAGAGATGTCGATCCTTTCCATATTCATTTCTGCAATCTTAAACCAGATAGCCCTTTTCGTAGAGAGTTAATTAAACGTTATGGAGAAAAATGGAACAAATTGCTTTTAACAGCAACAGAAAAGTCTCACGTAGATTTATTTCCAAAGGACAGTATTATATATCTAACTGCAGATTCTCCCAATGTTATGACTACTTTCAAGCATGACAAAATTTATATAGTGGGATCTTTTGTTGATAAGAATATGCAGCCAGGCGCATCCCTAGCCAAGGCAAAACGGCTGAAACTGGCAACAGAATGCTTTCCATTAGATAAATATTTACAGTGGGACACTGGTACAAAAAATCTCACCATAGATCAAGTAACACGTATTTTGTTATGTCTGAAAAACACTGGTAGTTGGGAAGAGGCTCTGAAGTTTGTTCCTAAGAGAAAACATACAGGTTATCTGGAGATTTCTCAACATCCCCAAGAATTTGTCAACAGAATAAAAAAGACTATTAATTCATTTCCAAAAGGCTCTCTAAATAAATACACAAAGAAAAAGTGACTTGAAAGAGAAGTATTTGATAGCTTAAGAAATAAATGGATTGGAAATACAGTTTGTTAGTTTCTTCCTGAATGGAATTCACTTGCTCTTTAAAGAGTTGTCTTTCCAAACAAGTATTGTATCTCTCCCCAATTTATTAAATATCTGCAAACTTTGGAAATATATTTTGTTTACATAAAAAGAATTTTAGAAAGTAAAAAGAGTTGTCCAAGTTTGTTGAGCCCAGTAAAACAGTTGTATCATTGGCAGGGCTTTTTTATGAATACTTGCGTCTCAGACTCTATTTTCCTTCTTAAATGTTCTTTTAGCCATGTTAACAACTATTCTTTCATCAAAAATTGATAGAGGAGACCTTGTGGGTTTGCTCAGTGGTTAGAGTGTTGGCCCTCAAACTGAAAGGTCTTTGGTTCAATTCTGATCAAAGGCTCAGTCCCCAGCCCTGGTTGATGTCTCTCCCCCTCCCTTCCACTCTAAAAATCAATGGAAAAAATGTCCTCGAGTAAGAATTAACAAAAAAAAAAAATTGATAGATTTCTAAACTTCAGGTGGTTGTTCACTTACTAACAGAACATTTGGTACAATGCTGGGCATGTCATAAGCACTAAGGTATATTGTTTAACTGGATATTAAAAGGTTAAGCAATCCCTTGGATGTCAGAGATTTGGCTGTATAATGAAAAATGGGCCGGGCTGGCGTTACTCAGTGGTTGAGCATCGACCTATGAACGAAGAGGTCACTGGTTCACAGGGCACATTCCCGGGTTGTGGGCTCAGTCCTCAGTGGGAGTCTTGCAGGAGGCAGCCAATCAATGTTTCAGATTGATGTTTCTTTATCCCTCTTCTTTCCCCTCTCTCTGAAATCAGTAAAAACATTTAAAAAAGAAAATGGGTTTGAGGGGCAGAAAACATTTCCTTTTAAAACAAAAGGGCTTATTTGATACGTGTTACATACAGCAATTTGCTACTTTAGTGTATATGGCTTTCCTTTTGTAGGAAATAGTTCTTTTTCTCCAGCCATGTGATTGAATGGAAGTTGCCCTATTTTTATAAACCTGGCTCTCCTGGCCACAGCTGATCATCTCAAAGGAGACACCTCACTCAAGCTTAGAGATGGGCATCTGACTTTAAGATAGACCAGTCACAAACTATATGGCCTAACTTCCCGGCACTAACGAGGAAAGACTGGGCTTTTCTCTCTATCTCAAACATCCAATAATTTATTCTATAGTATTCTTCCTCTTTAAAGGCAACTTTTGTTGCCTATGTTCTAATTGTCTTTGCCTCTTACCTTTTACAGACATGTTTTTATGTAATGCCATTTCAAATGCTCTCCTTTTTTGCTCTTTTCAAACATGCCACCAACTTCCCAGCTTTTAATATTTAAAACAATTTATTTTTTCATTGATTTTAGAGAGAAACATTCATGCATTCATTGCTTGATTCTTGCATATACCTGACCGGGGATCGAACTGAAAGCTTGGTGCACTGGGACCATGCTCTAACCAACTGGGCTACCCAGCCATACTTGGCTACAATATTACCCAGTTGAACTTTGTTATATTTAAGCCAGTCCTTTAAGCAAGCATTTCAGGTGCTTAATAGTCACATGCAGCTAGTGGCTGCCACACTGACCAGTGCAGCTCTACCCTGTGACCTGCTTTGTGCTTACATCAGTTGTATCGTTTCCAGCCAGATCCATGGCCATTTCCATGGCACATCTACTGAGCACTTTCCTCCTTAAAATACTTCCTTGATTTCCATATCACAGCCATTGTTTTTTTCTCAATCTAGCAGCTTATCTTCCTCATTGGCTCATTCATTCATTCAGCAAATATTTATTGAGAACCTAGTATGTGCCCAGAAGTATTTTAGATGTTGGGATGTTGATGATACAGCAGTGCACAAAGTAGTCCCAGCCTTCATGGATATGAAATTCTGCACAGAGAGGAGACAAACATAAATATATAAAATGTCAGATGGTAGTAAGTGGTACTAGTTTCTCTCTTTCTCTCTCTCTCCCTCTAAATCAATAGGAACATATCCTTTAGTGAGGATTAGAAAAAAAAACCGGTATCTATAAATAAATAAATACATAATTTCACATTAAAAAGTCTCATGTTTATGTCTCTTTAAAAGTGAGAGTCTCCGTGATTAAATAGCTCGTGAAGATTACATCTGGGGAAAATAAAACAAACATGAATTAATTACCTGCTCTATGTAAAATATTTTGCTGGGCACGTTTACATATACTGTCATAAATGGTGGACCAGGACTTCAAATCACCCAATCACCAAACCACCCTGCTTTTGTCCGGATACATACTTTCTCCATTCTCTAGGTTTGGAACCTGAGGATTCATCCATCCACAAACACTGAGCACCGTTCATATATGAAATGCACAGTACAAAGTGCTGTGAAGAAAAAAATAATGGTCTCTGTTGGGAATAAAGGTCTCTGTTGTCAAAGAACTTTTGAGCCTGTAGGGAAACCACTTTTTTTTTTTTTTTAACACATACTAAAGGAAGCATAAAGTTACCAAGCAATGCTATGTAGAAATCATCTCACTTGGTCCTCATGACCACCCTTTGAGGAGACACTATTATTTCTATTTTATAGAAAAGGAAATGTAGGTCCTGTTGACAGTAAGAAACCCTCAAGATTTACTCAGCCAATAAGGGATAGATCAGGGTATTCAAACCCAAGCTCTGACTCCTTCAGACTAGTTTCTGTAATACTCACTGTATATTGTAGGGCAAACCCGGAAACTCCAGTTCCCTAGGCAAGGAATAAACCCTGTATAGCAAAAGGGCTGTATAATATAGGAAAAAAGGGGAAACGAGGCTGAAAAGTTAGACGGGGGCCCAATATAACGCTTGGACTTCATTCTGCAAACACTTGGGGCTCCACTAAAGATTTTTAAGCCAGGCAGAAATTACTGCAGTCCCCACTTAATAAAGTAACTTCTGTTAACTTGATACAGAAACTGCAGCCTACATTTAGAAACAGTGGTTTTACCACCTGGCTACCGTGTCCTTGGGCAAATTACTCTTTGGCCTCAACTCACAATAAAGAGGGTAATTCCGCACTGAAACTCTCCTGGGGAGCCAACGAAATAGTGTCTAACACAAGAGGGCGCTCAATAAACGCTAATTTCCCCCCTTAAGTAGCGAAAATTACGGCCCTACATTTTTTTTCCTGTGGGTAGGCAAGGCGATCCAGCAACACCAACACGAAAGAGCCAGCTAACTTAAGCTGCAACTACACCCCAGTCTGCAGAAACTTTACTGACCAGTGGTTCTCAACCTTCTGGCCCTTTAAATACAGTTCCTCATGTTGTGACCCAACCATAAAATTATCTTCGTTGCTACTTCATAACTGTAATGTTGCTACTGTTATGAATCGTCATGTAAATATCTGATATGCGCCCCTCCCCTCACCTCTCTGCGCCGTGAAAACAAAACCGATATCTCGTGAAAAGCCTGCACCAGTCCTCATGGGGGCCGCCCTCCCTTCAGAGGCGGCTGGGTTCCGAAGTCACCTGCAGTTCCGTTTTCGCTCTCCGGGGCCGCTCTAGGCTGCCGCCCCGCCCGCGGCGCCGCGTCTCCATGGTTACTGGGCGGGGCCGTGACGTCCTTGGCGTGGCTGCAGGGAGGCCGCGGCGGGGAAGATGGCGGACGGGAAGGCGGGAGAGGAGAAGCCGGAGAAGCCGCAGCGAGCTGGAGCCGCCGGAGGTGAACACAACCCCAGCGTCGCGGGCTGAGCGGGATGCTCTGGGTCTTTCTTTGAGCTCCCGGGGTGGAGGGCGGCGGGTGCGGCGAGAATGGGCGGACCTGACGCTCGCCCGGCCAGGTGCTGGGCCCAGATGAACCCTGGGCACGCCCGGCGCGGCCCGCGGGGATCCGGTGTCCCCATCGCCTCCTGGACGGCGGATAGTCGGCCCCAGTTCATCACCTCCTGGCCCCCCGGAGGCCCCGCCTCCGAGGAGAAGGGAGATGGGCGCTAGAGAGGGGAACGGAACTCGGGTGGGACCCGGCGCGGCGGTGCGGGAGGCGCTACCGCCGCCCTGGAGACGCGCATCTCACCGCGCACAGGCGCACTCGGTGGGAGCCTCCGCCGGCGGCCGCGGGAGCCGGCCGCTCGCCAAGTTTCCGACGGTGCCGCCCTCTCGGTTACACCTAGCGGGTCGTCTGCCGCTTGGCGCTGGGGCGGTGGACGGCCCCGGCCTTTATTCCCTTCCCTTTATTTTCCAGCCGAATACTGACCCTGTCCCGGGCTGGGTGGAGGCAGCGGAGGAAAGAGGGAAGGAAACCTTTGTCTGCCCGCCGGCTGGTTGCAGCTGCGGGGTCCAGGGTTAGGGCTTGGTTGCCCGGCTTTGGGGTGTCTGCCTTTTCCGAGCCAGGCTGTCGCCAGCTGTCTGCGGGCCAGATGCTCAGGTGCCAGCAGAGGCTCGTGTAACTCTTCCTGTATTTTGTTGCGATGTGCACGCAGGCTGGCTTGGTTTTGTCCCCTCCGCCCCTGTACGTTCAGGTCTCGTGCTTTCAGGAAAAGAAACGTAACGCCTCCAGCCACCCTTTGTCGTAACAAGGCACCTAATTGAACACGTGCGAGCTGATCGTAGTATCTTTAGAACGTTTTCAGCATTACTCCCCAGCTCCCTCCAGTTCTTCTTCCTGACAGTATTTCATATGAGAAAATACAGGACATTGATGGCATTTGAAGGCAGCTATTAACAACTGTTAATAGGATGTTGAATGTGAACTGCCTTGAGAAAAGTGTAATTGTTCAGTTACTTTGGACCCACAAGTCCCTTTTTAAAAAAAATAGATACAGTGGTATTAGTGGAGCCATACTCCTCCCTCCCGTCTCCCCTGGTTATTTACTATCTCATTAGGGACTTTTTTCCCTTCAAAAATTGTCTTGGAAAGTATCGAGTAAAGTTACATTTAAAAATTAGTGATTTGAAGAAGAAAAATCGGTAGCCTAAAGAATCTTATCTAGCTTTTAAACTGGCTTTTTTTTTTTTAACTCTCTTGACTGAAAGTATAGGAGGTGTATTTAATATGCTGTCAAAGTGTTAGCATAATTCCACTATATAATTTTTCCACCACCCCTTCAGTAGGGATAATTAGCTTTAGTATGAATATTGATGTTTCTGTTTTAGCATGTTTTTGGGGAGAGTGGTAGGTGGTATAAAATTATCTTTACTAATTGGTATTAAAATTATTATGGACTCCTTATAGATGACTTAGGATAAGTAATAACCCTTAATAACTTATACATTATTTGTCTCAGGTGTGCTTTCCTTTACAAGAAAATAGTGCTGTAGCACATAACCTTTTTTTAAAAAAAGAGAAGGTACCATTTTGTTTATCTATTTAATTGTGGGGTTTTTATTGTTGTTTTGAGGGAAAGAGAGAAATATTTATTCTTTGCCTCCCTCACACACCCAACTGGGCATGAAACCTGCAACCTGGGCATGTGCCCTGAGTGGGAACCAAACCCACAACCTTTCTTTTGGTGTAGGGACACGCTCCAACCAACTGAGCCACACCAGTCAGGGCGCATATGAACCATTTTTTAATGTTAGCTGTTTTTTAAAAATATATTTTTATTTATTTCAGAGAGAAAGGGAGAGGGAGATAGAAACATCAATGATGAGAGAGAATCATTGATCAGCTCCCTCCTGCACACCCTTCGCTGGGGATCAATCCCACAACCCAGGCATATGCCTGACCAGGAATCAAATTGTGACCTCCTGGTTCTATAGGTTGATGTTCAACCTTTGAGCCACACCAGCTGGGCTAATGTCAGGCATTTATAATGAAGTTGTACAAAGGAATCATAGTTAAAATATTTAATAGAGTGGGTATTGCCAAATTGTTCATTTTGTGGCCAGTAGCCACTGTTTTTGAAATACTATGAAGTTTATTTTAAGGGTTTATTTAGGGAATATTCTGATTTTTAATTCCTATTGAATAGTCCAGTAAATTGGAAATATAAGTATTTTTGTGTGATTACTTCATAGTTAACATGAATTTATGTGAATAAGAGAAGAGGAGAGATAATGCTAAGGGTGAGAGGCCTTAGGTAGATTTTTTAAAAATAAGGAGAGAGAGGGATAGAGAGTTAGAAATATCGATGAGAGAGAAACATTGATCAGCTGCCTCCTGCACACCCCCTACTGGGAATGTGCCCGTAACCAAGGTACATGCCCTTGACTGGAATCGAACCCGGGACCCTTCAGTCCAAAGGCTGACGCTCTATCCACTGAGCCAAACCGTTTAGGGCATGGCTGAATTTTTGTATCTCCTTGAAATAAATAGAAATTTTAGAGAAGAGCTATTCATATCATAATCATTGCCATTTCAGGATATTGTAGGTTATCTAAGATCTATCTAATGAAATTGACATTTATTATGCCAGGCTATAGGTCTTGAATATGTTCTCATTTAATCTGTTAGAAAGATGGCTGTGTACCCTTTTTTCAGGTGAAGAGCTACCAGTGTGTAAATGGGTCATGAAGGATACCCCTAAACTTACTTTCTTAATAGGTAATTTTTTTGAAAGTAAGATACCTTTATGCCCCAAGGCACTCCTCTCCCCAACCATTCAGTGGGGGGGAAAAAATGTTTGTACAATGTATAATTTAATTTCATATTAACTAATCAACACACTTTGTTCAGAATGAATATAAACTAGATAAAATCCCTTTTATTAAAATATCCCTTGATAAAAAATATAGTAGTTTGATATAACTGTCCATGTTTTGTTATACATTATTTTTTTTATTTTTAAAAAGTTGACCATATACTTATTCATCCTTTAAAATATAAATCACATTGCCAAAAATTTTCAAAAATCTCTGGTCATTCAAATTTTTGTTTTCCAGTCTCAAAATAGAAAACATCTCATTAAATACATTGAAAACAGCAGTTTTTATTAAAATCCCTAAATATTAAAGTAGCACATGTTGTGTTTAAAGGAAAGCACTTAATAGAATTAAGAATTAATGTTGATTTTTAATGGTATGTTTCAAAGCTTACATTAGGTTGAAATAATGTTCTAATGAGCTCTATATATAATTGCAGAAATTATAATAATCACACTAATAATAACATAGATTTGGCTGTCATATTTCCCCCTTACATCATTGCTTATTTCATTTCGCTATATTTCCTAAATGTTTCATGTATCTTACTACGTAATTGTTAGAAGAGGATTGCATGAAAAAATAACAGTTCAGTCCACGAAAAGTGTAATGAGTACTAATAGTGCATCCACCTTCCTTCACTCCTTTTTCCCCCCCTACCTTTTTATTGAAGAATAAATGTTTTCTAAAGCTACTGAGTATTCACAATTGCTTACCAAAAAAAAAAAAAAAACTTATTGAGAGTGAGCAAGGCTAGTTTTCTATATCCAAAAATAAATTGCTGATCTGGAATCAGCCATGTGTGAAAATGACCTAATAGACATAGTATGCTTTAATCTTCAGTGTGCATCTGAGATGTAGGTGGTCTTAATAGTTTGCTTCTTCAGATGACAAAAATACAAATGTGAATATAATTGAGTTGCTGCCAGTTGATTACTTACTTAATGATAGTTTTCCCAGCTCCCCTTTTCATGCTACCTTTTCCTAGAGCAGTCTCTAGAAATCTCTTCCCTGTAGCATGATGCAATTGGACAGATACTATTGTGTTCCCCGTATTAGCACATTACTAGTTCAGATAGTTATCACACTTAATGTTATTAATATTGTAGTAAGAATTATATTTTCACATCATTATTTATGCTTTAATTCTTGAAGATTATTTTTTGTTTCAAAAATATTTTCTGGATAACAGGAGACCTAGAATTAGGTAAAGATGGGTTTTAAAAGAACAGGAAATCTTATATAACACTTGAGTCACAGTTCAAAGAGCAGTTATACTACAATTAAAACTAAATGTTCTTTGCACTATTTGTTTTTATTTATTTTCAGAATTTCTATATATTCCAATTTGAAGAGTTTTCAATTTTAGCTGTGTATCAGTCACAGAGAAGTTATCACTGTTTGGGTTTACTGTAAATGTTATACGTGATTAAAATTATAAATAGATGGGGGTTTGCCCTTGGGGGTGGGTGTCGCTGGGGGGGGTCAATCGGGGAAAAAAGGGGACATGTAATACTTTAAACAATAAAAAAACTATAAGTAGAAAGCAGAATATAATTTAGCATAAACTCTTTTGTTATAAACTTAGACTTTGAAAAAACTTTAATCCTTTTTTAAATTGATTTTTAATTTAAATTTATTGGGGTGACATTGGTCAACATGAACATATAGGTTTCAGGTGTGGGTTTTTGTGTTACAAGGTCTGTATATTGTACCATGTGCCCACCACCCAAAGTCAAATCTCCTGTCACCATATATTGGGACCCCCTTTTCCATCTCCCCACTTCCCTCTGGCAATCACCACATACATTATATTTTTTAAAAAGAAATTCTAAATTGAGTTCTGCATTTTAGCTATTGAATAGTAATCTTTCTTTCTTCGGGTACTTTTGTAATTTCATATCTGAGTAAGTAAATGGCACCTCCTGGGGAAATCCCAAAACCTAATCCTGCTTAATTTCTTTCCTACATTGTCATTACAACTCTCACTCCTTGTCCAAAGGAAATTAAGAGTTATTTTTCCTCTCAACAAAATCAGATGTTCTGTTCAAAGTGCTTATTAACTAGAGACTCTACAATTCCAAATTATATAGATTGAGATATATAGCCTCCCCTTTTTTAATCAGTTTTTTGTCAGTCTGTGTTTAATTTCCTCCCTTCCCCTGCATTCAAGCTTTTTGTACTGTTTCTTAACTATTGTCAGAGCTATCCCTTAGAGCATAAATAAATCCATCCATTGTAGCGGAATACATCCCATAGAGTGAATTGGTAAACTGGGGAAAGAAAATACGAATTTTAATAATAGCCAGCCTTCTGTCTTACCTCCCAATATGTTCTTAAATCGCCTTGTATAACATATCTGAGATATTTGAAATGTGAACTCATTTCATCATTTATTAATGCAAACAGGAGCAAAATTACTGAAAAACATCTTGTATTCATGCCTTCTGTTTGAAATTATAATTAGCTCATCTTTCATGATTAAAAATAACCTAAGTATGATTTTTATTGTGGGTTTTTTTATATATATAGATAAAAAGAGTGGAAATTTATTGGGAGCAAATACAGACTCCCACATAAGGAGGGGTCCAAGGGGTAACCCACTAAACTCTTTTTTGCTAAGGTTTTTTTATTATTTTTTTATTGATTAAGTTATTACATATGTGTTCTTATCCCCACATTACCCCCTATACAATTATGATTGTTAAAAGCTCTTAAGGGTAGCTTAAAACAGGTGATAATAACCAAGCTTTCAGAGGAGAAGTACTCAAAGGGTGATAACCTTTGTAGTCTTCTTTAAAGTTCCTTTACAAGTAAAGATTGTGTGAGATGTACATGAGGAACACATCACTCAAGAAAGTTATTCCAGGTTTTATTAACATTGTAGGTCAGGTAATAATGGCTGTTTATAACTAGGTACTTTGTGTAACTAATAGTACATTATTGAAGAATATTGGAACTTACTAGTCAAATGTATTATCCTATGATGTGACTAATTGCTCACAAACTAGTTTGTGTAGAACAATTTACAGACCTTAATTTCTAAACAAAATCTCACAAATAACTAGATTATTGTACAACTTAACTGTTTAGTTGAAGGGTCTTTACTTTCTGTGAACTCTGTTTATAATTTTAAATTGCTCTGTATTTTATGCTAGTTAATTCATGGGAGCCTCTTCTACTGCCACAATCTCAGTTCCTGTTGTATACTCTAACAAACAGTGGATGAGACTGTTGGGTCAGTAGGTGACAACTGCAGAGGTATCTTCCTTATAACGATGCTTTTTGAGGTTGCTGCTCCCGTCAGTCTGCTCAGTAAAAATAGCTCATCTTGGTAAGTTGTTTCGACTTCACCAGGACCTGAAGAAGAAGCAGAAAAACCTGTGAAAACTAAGACTGTTTCTTCCAGTAATGGAGGGGAAAGTTCCAGTCGCAGCGCTGAGAAGCGATCAGCTGAAGAAGAAGCTGCAGACCTCCCAACAAAGCCTACAAAGATCTCCAAGTTTGGATTTGCCATAGGTAGTCAGACGACAAAGAAAGCCTCCGCCATATCCATCAAACTTGGATCAAGTGTGAGTTGTTATTTTATGTATGATATTCGTAATGGGTCTTAAGAATTTGTTTTGGAAACCTGCTTTCACTGAGTTAGGTAAATTAAGTATAAAAGTGTACCTATAGGTATTTAAGGAGTTATTAGCTCCATGTTCAAGAAAGACCTGGATGAACTATATCTTAATAAAGTTTGTTTTTATTTTAAAAAGGTTTGGAATATAAGAAATAACTACAAGTAATAGCTTGAAATTTTCCTAAGTTGAGCAAAACCTCTTAAAATTTTTTCTGAAAGAATTTTAGCTTATTTTTCATATCTTTCAATTCTAGCAATATTAAAAATAATATCTCTAGAAATTATTTTATCTTAAAAGGTTAATATTAGCAAAATATTCCTTGATAAGAAGAGCTTCCTGATTATCTTATTTTGGAGCTGCACGAGGACCTTCATTGATATCCTGTGACAGTAGTTCCTTACAGATCAACTTTTCATCCCTTGTGGGGGTTTTTGTGCATGTGTGGTTTTTTTAAAATATATTTTTATTGATTTCCGAGAGAGGAAGGGTGAGGGAGATAGAAACATCAATGATGATGAAAAAAAAAAGAAAAGAAACAAACAAACACCAATGATGAGAGAGAATCACTGATAGGCTGTCTCCTGCACACCCCACACTAGGGATCGAGCCTACAACCTGGGCATGTGCCCTGACCGGGAATTGAACCATGACCTCCAGGTTCATAGGTCGTTGCTCAGCCATTGAGCCACACTGGCAGGGCTTGATCCCTTGTTTAAACCATGAGTCAGTATTTACGAACTATGGAGTATCTGGAAAGTATTTGAAATACTAGATTGAAGCATATGAGGTTTAGAAATTTGACTATAACTATTTTATATGGTTTATCCAAATAGATCTCTTCTTTAAGAAGAAAAGTTACTTATATGTTGTATTGCTATTAGTTTTAGAAAATAGTTACATTCTTGTGTAAGGAGAAAAATCCTAAAATTGCTTTTGAGTTTATTCATATCTTTTCTGTGAAAATTAATGCTCAGTTGCTAGATGCATACAGCTTTTTTCTGCATTAGATGTTCATTCAAAGATCTTTAAATCTGATATGGATCAAGTTTCTACTATAAGTGTGACCCACACTGCTAATTTTAAAAGCTACCATTTCTCAGAACTCCCACTTCCATCAAGACATTCAGCTTGTAAATTCATTACTTAAGACTCGTCTCCCTATCAGAACTGATTTTTTTGTTTAATCTCTTTTTTTAAGTTGCATAGACTTACCTGCATAAATATTTTTTTTGTTTTTAATCCTCACCCAATGATATATTTTTTAGAGCGAGTGGAAGGGAGGGGGAGATACAAAGAGAGAAACATCAAAGTGAGAGAGACACACCAATTGGTTGCCTCCCAAACGCACCCCAACGGGAGCTAGGATGGGGCTAGGGATCCTGCACGTGCCCTGTACCAGAATCGAATCCGGGACCCTTTCAGTCTTAGGGCCGACACTCTATCCACTGAGCCAAAACGGTTAAGGCAAAATTTACTTTTTTTGATAGTGATTAAAAATGTATTCTAATGTACACTTCTTATACAGATCCCCTTGATAATAAATTTTACTGTGGTTCAGCACACCCCTTAAATTGGATATATAAATCCCTAATTCACATTTAGCAATTTAGTAATGCCTGATCATATTAGATGGGAGGGTTGTGTTTGAAAAAGCCTACTCAGTAAAACTAATCGTTGGAAAACAAAAACCTATTTTTATAAAATAAATGATAGTGCGCAAACATAATTTTCTTGGGGAGTAGAGATGTAAGATATAAGAAATAGTTGGAATTGTTGTTGATTATGTGATGTGAAAAGGTAGTCCGATCAACCAACAAATACTTACCTAGTGTCTTATGTTGCACCTACAACAAATACATGAGTTCTTTAAAAGATTGAAGGGTGTTTCTAGAGCAGCCGTGGGCAAACTACGGCCCGCTTGAAATGAATAAAACTAAAAAAAAAAAAAAGACCGTAGCCTTTTATGTAATGATGTTTACTTTGAATTTATATTAATTCACACAAACACTCCATCCATGCTTTTGTTCCGGCCCTCCGGTCCAGTTTAAGAACCCATTGTGGCCCTCGAGTCAAAAAGTTTGCCCACCCCTGTTCTAGAGTCACTATGCATAATCTTCAAATGAACATTTCTTATTCCTTCAGAAGCAAATATTTTTATTGTTTATAAAAATATTTGTGTGTGTTATAGAAGAAGGGATGGTTAATTTTGTTGTAGGTCAGAGAAAATTTCACTGATAAAGTGATGTTTGAGTTTGCCTTAAGTGCAGGCAGGAAGCGAAGGGCATCTCAGATAAAAGGAATTTCATGTAAAAGCAGTTTATATATGAAGCCATACAGTACATTCAGGAAATTGTACTTGGAAAGTGTTTGGAAGGTGAATATAAGATAGAAAGCCCCCAAATGAGACCATAGGATCAAATCATAAAGGACTTGAATTCCATAATGTAATTTGGCCTTATTCTTTAGGTTCTAGCAGAGCCATAGAACATTATAAGGAATATTGATACTTAAATGGTTTTGCATTTTAGAAACATCACCATATACATCACTCTGTACAAAGGATTAGAAGGTGGGGGAGTTTGACATACTTGGTTTGGGATGGATGGAGTTGACCAGGGGAGAATAGAGAAGGAAAGGTCACTAAGGACAGAATTTAGGGTACCTGTCATTTGAAGGGGGACAGGAGGGAGAAAAGAGAATAAAAGGTCAGAGAATTAGGAAAATTGCCAATAAAAAACAGTGTCACAGAGGCAAAGGTAGGGTGTTTTTATTTTTAAATGTATTTTTATTGATTTCAGAGAGGAAGGGAGGGAGAGAGAACTATCAGTGATAAGAGAGCATCATTGATCGGCTGCCTCCTGTACACCCCTACTGGGGATCAAGCCCACAATCTGGGCATGTGCCCTGACGGGGAATCGAACCTTGACCTCCTAGTTCATAGGTGGACGCTTAAACACTGAGCAACACCGGCTGGGCAAGGTAGGGGTGTTTTAAAAAAGGAACTGGTGCCCAGCCAGCATGTCTCAGTGGTTGAGCGTTGACCTGTGCACCAGGAGGTCACAGTTCGATTCCCAGTCAGGGAACATGCCCGGGTTGCGGGCTTGACCCACAGTGTGGGGCGTGCAGGAGGCAGCAAGCAATGATTCCCTCTCATCATTGATGTTTCTATCTCTCTCTTCCTCTCCCTTCCTCTCTGAAATCAATAAAATATATTTAAAAATAAAATAAAATGCAAAAAAGGAACTGATGATTAGAGTCAAAAGTAGCACACTTGTCATTGGTGATTATATAATCAGGGTCACCTGATTCTAGTTGAGTGAGGAATTGTGGAGAATGGTAAGGGAGGAAGCCAAATTGCAGTGGGTTGAAGACTGAATGGGTGGTGAGAGGATTGGAGATACGTACTGAGGACAATTTACTTCAAACAGATTAGAAGAGATGCTATGAATGAAGCATGCTTATAGGCTATAGGGCAGGAAGCTAGCTAGTAGAAAGATGAGCCTTGGAGTCTTTTTATGTTCCCAAGTACACTACTTAATTTTAATGTTACAATGGGAAAGTAATACTGATAATTTTCTCTTACCTGTCCCAGGTGCCCCTTAGCTAAGTGATACTAAATTATAGGTCCTAACTAGGAAATCTTTTATAAGAGGGGAAAAATGGACAATAAAGTAAAAAGCTACCCATTGATAACCCACATTTTCAAAAAGAAAGAATGGATTTGTCCAAAGTTTTTTCTGAGTTTCTTACTATTTCTATGAAAACAAAGTTTAATATTTGATGATAAATTATTTATATCATTAAGCCTGTGTAGATGTTATGTCATACTCTTTAATATGTTTTTTTTCTTCAGAAACCTAAAGAAACTGTTCCAACTCTTGCTCCAAAAACCCTTTCAGTAGCAGCAGCTTTTAATGAAGATGAAGATGTAAGTTGACACCCAGTTTTGTTTATTTTACTTTAACCAGTTCTTTAAGAAAGATGTTAGTGGCAGATTATAGGTTGTGTTAATGGTACTAGTGAATTTCCTTTACAACTCTGATCAGTTTCTGTGTGTGAGACATCTGTGAAATCTGGATATTTCTATTTATTATATTTGGTTGTAGGGTTATTTAAAATATTGTTAACTCTGGGGGCAAGGAACTTAATCATTGATAAATGCTTCTTATGAATTAGAGGCCTAATGCACAAAATTTGTGTGTGGGGGGGGTCCCTCAGCCTGGCCTGCGCCCTCTCACAATCCAGGACCCTTCACTCCTCACCACCCGCCTGCTTGCTCCTTACCACTTGGCTCGCCGCTTCTTAGCGCTGCCACGGCGTCTGTCTGAGCAGCGCTCCCGCTGTGGGAGTGCACTGACCACGAGGAGGGCAGCTCCTGTGTTCAGCACCTGCCCCCTGGGGGTCAGTGCACATCATAGCGACCGGTCGTTCCGCCCTAAGAGTCGCTGGGCTTTTATATGGATAGATAATATATGTATGTACTAGGAAGTATGTAGCATCCAAAAAAAATTGAATACTGCCTTTAATAATTTTTATAGCTGAAGTCTTCAGTGATGAGACATTTTAATAATACAACTGATTCTTCCTTTATCCCCATGAGGCAGCTGTATTGGTTTCTCCCTTTATCCCTGTGAGGAATAACAATTAAATAGTGCAGGTGATTCTGCTAGAAGTTTCACTCAATGAATTCGTATTCCAGAGTAAACATAAGATGCTTATCTGCTGTCATAGGCAGTCCTAGTCCCTTCATGCCCCTCATAGGGTCTCTCTCTCACCATGCTTATGAATAACTATGGAATTTTAAGCATAATTTTGACTTTTCCTTAGACTCTGACTTTAGAACCTAACCCTCATTTTTTAAGATTTGACCCCATTATATAACAATTAAGTGTTACTGGATACATGAGTAAATTGCTACCAAAAGGAATCTGGATAAGAATTATACATTCAGAGGAGCACAACCACTGGGGTAGGAGTGATTGGGAAGAATATATAACAGAAGAAATATGAGTTGGGTATTGAAACATTAGGTAGGATTTTGACAAACCAAGGAATACTTTTGTAAGCTAAGACGTCAATTTTCAAATCACGGTGATAAATACTAAGCAGCTCCATTTGACTGTGCTGGAGATTTTTTTAGTTTTGGGCAAGGATAAATGTGAAATGCTTGGATCCCAGGTCAGTAGGTAAAGAATAACTGGTCATCACTGTATTCTTTGGACCTTTACTCATTCTACACATTTGAGTACTTTCCATATGCTAGGCACAGTGAGATTACAAAGGTAAATCAGACAAGTTTCTCTAGGAACTCAGCCTTCTAGAGCAGAGACTTATACATAAAATAGTACAAAATAAAAATCAAAGGTACCTGGAGATGAAGTGATGTGGAATTCAGGGAAAGAAAGAGGCTGGTACTAGATACCTGAAAAGACCACTAGATTGGCAATCAGGAGACCTGAATTCTTTTCCTGTTTGTCCAGTTCTTAACCAGTAGAAAGCCTGTGCATAAATCACTCTACCTTTTTGGAGCTGTAGTTTTTAAACTGTGAAATGAAGGCTCTATTTAGAACATAGATTTTTAAACTATTTTTCAGAGTTCTGGTGTTCTCTTGAAATGTTTCAGGAGCTACTGTGCTGGAAGGTGATGATACCTAACAAGCAGGGCTCTGGTCTCCTGCCCTGTTTACTTACAGAAATTCTTGTATCTGTTTGATAATTGGGAACCCAAAGTGAGATTTTATTGAAGAAAAAATGTATTTCATTGCCCCATTCTCCCCAGGAAGGTTTAAAAAGTACTAACAAATAATATTTACTGTTTTCTGTCATTTTGACATTCTTAACAGATTGTATGAGGACAATATAGGAAGAAGGAAACAGCATGTGTAAAAGTGGAGAGGCTGGAAATTATAAGCAATAAATACATAGTAGTAATTGCTTTCTTTGTTTTTGGGGTTTTATTGTTGTTGTTTCTTGTTTTAAATATATTTTTATTGATTTCAGAGAGGAAGGGAGAGAGAGAGATAGAAACATCAATGATGAGAGAGAATCATTGACCGACTGTCCCCTGCTGGGGATTGAGCCAGCAACCTGGGGATGTGACCTTTATCAGAATCGAACCCTGGACCCTTCAGTCCACAGGCCCATGCTCTATCCATTGAGGGCAGTAATTGCTTACTCTGAATACCTAACAATTTGTGTTGTTTGTTTTCTTTTTTGAATACCTAACAATTGGGGTATCTTTTCACATAACTTTATTTTACCTTCCATATATCCCTGTGATTCATGTGGTACAGTTATTTCTATTTTGCAAATGGAGAAGTTAAGAAGTTAAATAAAGTATGCATAAGTATGTGCGGATGCACACAAATGTTGAACTGAGGTCTTTTGGTTTCTAGTCCTCTGTTCTTTGCATCATCCCTTACTGCTTTCTCTAAATATTTTATAAAGAAATTTTGGACAGGTTCAGGCAACACTCTTTCTCTGCTATAAGATGGTAATGATAGGAAGGGATAAATTTGTCTCTTAGATAAAAGAATGCAATGCATCTAAAATCTTTATCTGGAGAGCATTTGAGATCTTGCTCCCCTGTATATGTTACCTGCTTGGCTCAAATAAACTTATCTAAAAAACATTTTCCCCATACCCTAAGTAAAATTGACTAATTACTTACTGCTTTCTCTAAATATTTTATAAAGAAATTTTGGACAGGTTCAGGCAACACTCTTTCTCTGCTATAAGATGGTAATGATAGGAAGGGATAAATTTGTCTCTTAGATAAAAGAATGCAATGCATCTAAAATCTTTATCTGGAGAGCATTTGAGATCTTGCTCCCCTGTATATGTTACCTGCTTGGCTCAAATAAACTTATCTAAAAAACATTTTCCCCATACCCTAAGTAAAATTGACTAATTAGATTGTACCAAAATTAAGGATTTCTGTTTAATAATATTATTGACAAAGGTAATGATGAAAGCTGGAACAAGATATTTGCAAATGTCTAAAACCAACAAAGACAGGGCCCTGGCTGGTGTGGCTCAGTTGTTTGGAGCATTGTCCTGTACACCAAAAGGTGACGGGGATCGATTCCCAGTCAGGGCACATACTCTGCTTGGGTTGCATGTTCAATCCCCAGTCAGGGTGCATGTGGGAGGCAACGGATTGATGTTTCTCCCACCGATGTTTCTCTCACCGATGTTTCTCTTTTTCCCCCTTTCCTTTCTCTCTCAATTAAAAAAAAAAAGTCAATTAAAAAATACCAAAAAAAATAAAACCAACAAAGAGGGGAGCGTTTGAGATTTGGTTCCCAACATATGTCTTCAGTTTGTCTCAAATAAACTCTTATAAAAATTCTAAAATAAGTAAAAATAAAATCAACAAAGGACTAATATCTGAAACATACAAAATAAAATATTTATCTGGTCCTTTTTCTGTAGAAACATGGCAAGTAACCTCGAATATATATCTGAGCCTGAAACATATTAGACAAAGGGTATTCTTGTGTCTCTTTAGAGTCTAATTTGGGCAGTCTCTGGATCTTTCGTGTATTTCATGGCATTAACATTTTTGAAGAGTTCAGGACAGTTATTTTATTATTGTTATCATCATTATTTTAGGACAGTTATTTTGTAGAATGTTCCTTAGTTTGGATTTGTCTGGTGTTTTCTTATGATTAGATTCACATTCCTTTTATCTGGAATACCACAGAAGTAATGCCAAGTTCTCGGTGTATCATATCAAGGAGCACATACTGTCAATATGTCCCATTACAGGCAGCATTAACTTCGATCATTTGGTTAAAGTGATGTCTGCTAGATTTCTGTACTGTCAAATCACTGTTTTTTTTCTAATTAAAATTTGTCTTATTGGAGATACTGTTTAAGAAGGTATATAGGCATTTACTCTTTTTTTTAAAAAATAAATCTTTATTGTTGAAAGTATTACATATGTCCCCTTGTTTCCTCCAGTCCGCCCCCACCCCCTGCCCTCACCGCCCCATTGTCTGTGTCCATGGCCATGCATATATGCATACAGGGTCCTTGGTTGGTTACCTCCCACCCACTCACCCTCCCTCCGAGATTCCTCACTCTGTTCCATATTAAGCATTTACTCTTTTTTTTTTAAATATATTTTTATTAATTTCAGAGAGGAAGAGAGAGAGAGAGATGAAAACATCCATGAGGAGAGAGAATCGTGCATCGGCTGCCTCCTGCACGCCCCCTACTGGGGATCGAGCCCACAACCCGGGCATGTGCCCTTGACAGGGAATTGAACCCGGGACCCTTCAGTCCCCAGGCTGACGCTCTATCCACTGAGCCACACCGGCCAGGGCAAGCATTTACTCTTGAGTGTTAACATCCATTGGTGATTCTTGCTGGAGTCAGTTATTACAATGTTTGCCAAATGACTTTTTTATAATTCTTTCTGTTACTGTTGAAATGTGAGGTTCAGGGTGCAGATTCTTCTCGTGGGTTCTTGTCCAACAGAGTTGAAGAATTTGTGGACTAACAGATTTCTTTAATACAAATGTAGACATTTATTAGAAGCATATACAAACTCCATCTAGGCAGAGGTGTCCCCAAATGGGGAAGGTCTCTCTCTCTCTCAAAAAAAAAAAAATCTAAGTAATCTGAATCTACTGAGTCTCTGTCTCCTGTGCTTTCCTCATTGGTCATTCTGCTACACAGTATTAGTTTCAAAGCTTAAATCTCAAAGCCCACTTGGTGCTCCCCTCTTTCTCTCCCCTTATCTTACAACATTCCTCTATCCTTTGTGGAAATATGTTTCCTTCCTGATATCCTGTGACTTTTCTTTATCCTCTGTGAATGTATGTCTTCCTCCCCCCTTATCCTGTGGCATTTTTCTGTCCTCTGTAAAAGTAAGATAAGCATTTTGGTGCCTCCAAGCCCCCATCTATGCATTCCTCCCCCATGGATCCTCTCTCAGTTATCCTGGCTGGAGATGTTTTATTACCCCTAAGGCTCTCCCAGCTGCTCAGGTCAGGCTGCTTTTAATTGCTCAAGCCAGAAAGGCCTTAATCCTTTCTGGACCACCCCCCCTCCCCTTCCTATCTGCCTAATTAAGCTAGCTAGCTAACCCTTAGCACTATAAAGAAGAGCTTTCCCTTATTTATATGTGTGGTGGGTTCATGGATTCTTACTTTATTCAATTGGTTATAATGCTCAAATTGTCCCAGATTTGACCAATAGAAACCCCGTTAATTTAAGGACTCCCTTTAAAAAAATATTTAAGCTCAGCAGCAAAATTTATACTTAAAAACTTACATCATTGTAACTTATCCGTAACTATAAATAGGGAAAAAATAGTAAACAAAGAACTTTCAAGATATCTTTTAGTCAGGGAGACATTTTTGAGAAGGAATAATCCAGTAAGATGGTTAAGAGTCTTTGCTTTGGCACTCTATTGTTTTGCTGTTTATTAGCTTTGTGACCTTGGACAGTTTCACCTGTTTATCTCACCTGCAGATTGGGAATGATGATAATCATACCACATTGTACAATTGTTAAAGAGTTTTAAAATATCATGCATATTAAAGCATTTAACACAATGTGTAGTACATAATCAACAAATGGTTTTAATTCTAGAATATCTAGTTTTTACCAAAAGTTTTAATGCAAAACCAGCACACTAGAAGTGCATTTCTTTTTAAAATGTAGTTAAGATAAATAATTTTCTTCTTTTATCAAAATTTACAGAATTGAAAATGCTAAAAGACTTAGACATAAAATTTTGCATATTGTAATGAAGTGAATTTAATAAATCTATATGCAATCATCTCTGTTAACTTCTGTTTTTCTTTTTTTTTCCCTCCAGAGCGAACCAGAGGAAATGCCTCCAGAAGCAAAGATGAGGATGAAGAATATTGGAAGGTATTATAATTTTTCATAAATATTATAGAAAATTATGGTGAATTAAGAGCAAGAATAAATTATACATAATCTTTTATTGTTCAGGCTTTTCTTGTGTATTGAGCATAACAGTTTTGTTTTGTGAGTTAATCAGTGATCTTATGAGTATTTTAAGAAAATTAACAATTTAAGACTTTCTTTTCAGATACATGTAATCCATATATATATATATATATATATATATATATGTTTTGTTTTGTTTTTTCAAATAAGAAATAGCTAGGAGCAATGTTCTGGTTTAAAATTTATATTGAATTGTTTTCTGGTATAAAAAGAAATGGCTTTCACTCATTTTTTTTATGATATTCTCACCACTTAATCTTGATCATAAATACCCTTTTTTCCATGGTCACTTAAATGTCACATACCAAAATAAAACAAAAGTATTTTAATTTTCCTTTATTGTTTCTGTTGTCATGGAAATAATGTTAATTTTAAGTTAATATGATGTTCGGTTTCCTGTTTTTGTATGCATAAATGGATAATTTAGAAGCTAGTAAAAAAGCTTAGCTTTAAATCGACCCATACTATGTCCCCATTTCTACGTAATGTATGAACTTCCAAAGAACTAATTGCTAAATCCATAAACAGGTTCAGCCTTCAGATTTTCGGTCTATGATTCAAATGGGAACAGTCCCAGTACCTTCATTTTATACTGGAATCTAAGAAATATACCTGGCATTATAACCCAATCTAAACACCAGTATACATCTATCTATCTAAATATGTAAAATTGAAACAGAGTTCATAAAATGACCTAAATCTTTCTGTATGTGATATATCTTCATGTTTTTCTTAAGTTTAATTTTTTATAAATGCTAATGACAAGCCAGTAAATTAATTTCATGACCTTATTAATGGGTTGCAAGCAACAGTAGTTTTGTTTTTTTGTATATATATTTTTTTTATTTCAAAATGGGTAAAGGACTTAAACGTAAGAGGGGAAACCATAAAAATCTTAGAAGAATCCATAGGTAGCAAAATAGCAACAATTTTTTAAAACTATAATGGTTGCCACCATTGGCTATCCTATATAATAAAAGCCTAATATGCTAAGTGTCCGGTCAGCTGTTCAGTCAAAGCATAATATGCTAATGTTATGCTAAGGCCGCTCAACCGCTTGCTATGATGTGCACTGACCACCAGGGGGCAGAGGCTCCGACCAGTAGGTTAGCTTGCTGCTGGGGTCCGACCAGTAGGTTAGCTTGCTGCTGGGGTCCGGCCAATCCGAACTGAGCGAGATGGGCCGGACACGCCCTGGAGCCCTCCCAACCTCCCGTGACCCTCCCTGGCCCTGATCGTGCATCAGTGGGGTCCCTCAACCTGGCCTGTGCCCTCTCACAATCCGGGACCCCTTGGGATGTCAGAGAGCTGGTTTCAGCCCAATCCCGCACGCCAGGCCAAGGGACTCCACTGGTGCACAAATTCCTGCACTTGGCCTCTAGTGTATCATAATCACCTCAAATGTTAAAACTACAAATTTACTTGGTCCTCCTCAGACCTGAATCTGAAATTTTAGGACTGGGTCTGTGGAAAGTATATTTTTTAAAACCTTTGTAGGGGCTTCTGATGTTCAGCCTATGTTTATAATAAGTGCTAAACAAATGTGTTTTGAATTATTAAAAACATGGCCCAAAAGGCTTTGTATAACATTTTGAATAAATTTCTTTTCTTTTAACACAGGGATACACCAACATCAGCAGGACCAAACTCCTTTAATAAAGGAAAGCATGGGTTTTCTGATAACCAGAAGCTATGGGAGCGAAATATAAAATCTCATCTTGGAAATGTCCATGACCAAGACAATTAAATGATATGTTTTGAAATTGGGGTATGGGGTGGGTGTAAAGTTAAAAGGAACAGTTTCCTTTTTAAAGAATGATATAAGACTATCTTTGGAGCCGCCTTTTTTTTTTTAAGATTGAGTGGTACACTAATAAATGAGAGTTTGAAATTAGACGTAATTTATGTTTTATATACAGATTTCAAGACATTTGCTAATTTTGTAGTTTCATGTAATTAGTTTCCAAAGGTTACAGATAATTTAAAAAAAATCAGAAATGGTACCTTTCTAAGAATTGCATATTTTTTTAGACACAACCTATTAGCACATTAAGAGGGAAGCAAAAAGTTATTGTCTGTTTAAACTGCAAGCAATTACTCTAACTTAACTCCCTTATTAACCTAAACTTTCTGGCTCCCAGGAACAGCCTTATAAAGAGAGGGAGTATTGTATTGGGAGGAAAATGTTACTGGAGTATTGACTAAAAGTGAATTGGATAAAATTAAAGTATTGCTTTTTTTCCTAATGGGCATTTGTTTTGTTTCAAGTCAAACTAGATATTGCATTGCTATCAGTGGATACAGAGGCTTAGCTCTTTAAAAGAAAATTTTTTTAATTTTATGTAAACAGTTGAGTATTTGATATAGCCCACTTCACCTTAATGGGTCTTGTCTGCCTTCATTAGTCTACAAAGAACAACCGTTTGCTACCAAAGTAAATCAGTATTTTGAATGTGCTTCTCTTGGTTTTTGTTATTAGCTTAGTTCCTCTGCGCATTTCCACCAGACTTGAGGCAAGTCATAGGAAGCTGTTTCTTTTAAAATACAAACCATCACCAAAAATTTTAAATGTACATAATACTTAAATATTTGGCTGTTTTTATTTTTTTAAATGTAACAGACAGCAAAAAAGCAACATAGTGTCAAGATGGAAAATGAGAAAGATGCACTTTCTGTAATTGTCATACCATTTAAGTTACTAATTTGTGAATTCCATTTTGATTTGTACTTAACTACAGGAATCCTTATTTAATACAATAAAATGGTTTATTTTAAGTGTATGCATATTAACCAATGGCCTCTCAAAAGCACATTTTCGATATTGAAAATAGAAGAAAAGAAAATGCATCTTTAAACATTTTATGGAATCTTTGACCACATATACTTTGTTAGAGCTATGTGTTGTAGGGTTTTGTTTTGTTTTTGTATTTTTGTATATGAATTCTTTTTTAATGTGACAATTAAACACATCTTTAAAGGTATAGTCATAGATAAGAGAAAAATGCAGTATAATGATTTCCTTGAAAACTTCTACAATGTTAAATTTGCAGGCAGCTTCAGACTGTCTTAATGGTGGTAACTAATCGCTCAGCTCTTTTAAAAGGTAGTAACTCCAGAGAAGCAGCCTGTATATATTCCTAACACTTTGTTCACTTTCATTTATTAGAGTAAGTCCCAAGTAAAACAATGGAAATGTATATAGAACTATTAGTTCTTACCTACTTGATTTAATGATATCAAGATACATGAATTTAACTTGCTTTAATGTAGGCAAACTTTTCATTTTTGTCTATTTTACTGTTAAAATCCCTCTCCTGCATATTCTTTTCTTGACTCAAACGAAATATTAGCCTATGGTCAAGATGGGAGAGAGAAATAACTGAGATGAATGTCTTTACTAAAATACCAATAAATTTGTCAAACTCAATAGTGTTCTTATTTTCTATTATGCTTAATTGTTACTGGGGTTTTTTTTGTTTTTTAACAAATGTTACAATTGTTGCTTTTGCCCACATTGTTGGCCAAGGTAATGGGAGGTTTTAAATTATTGTTCATTAGACTCTATCTAATTTAGCATTTAGTTCTATAGCATCCTTCTCCTCCCCTGCCAGAGTGTTTGCCCTATGCTGTAGAAAAGCCTGCCAAAGCATATCCAGTGTTAGAAGGTATTCTCTTACTAGTGTCTACCATCCATTAGCTCTACATATTTTCTTTGATTTTTAGAGGGAGAGGATAGGAGAGACGATAGAAACATCTCTGAGCGAGAAACATGGATCTCGGGCCCCCTACACGCCCTCCACTGGGGATTGAGCCTTGAAACTGAAAGGACAGAACAGGACTGATAGCTGTGTTCCTAACTCCTCTTCCAGCAAAAGCCATAGAATGTATCAGTTACTCAGCCTGCCCTTATCTCAGCCAATGGGAATGCAAGGGAAAACAAACTCAAGGCCGAAAGTATGCTGACCACCCCCCTGTCTTTGTGTAACCAGACCCTAACTGCACCCTGCCCTTGCATCATTAGCCCCCGGCCCTCACTCAACCAACCGGAATTGGCCAAATCAGTGGTCCGAGTGTGCCCCCACCCCCCGACCCCAAGCCCTATAAATTCATAGTTCTCTTGGGACTCCGGGCTCTCTCTCGCATCCAGTAATGGAGGCAGAGGGGGACCAAGCTAGCTTGAATAAAAGACTCTATGCTTTTGCATCGGACTCGGCGCTCCCTGGTGGTTCTGTGGGGGGTCTTGAAATCTGGGCATAACAAAACCAGCAACCTGCTGGTGCATAGATCAACACTCAACCATTGAGCCACACTGGTCGGGCACAATATTTTCTTAATGCTGTTGCCCAATAGTTCAGATCTTAATAAACGAAAGATTGAACTTAAACTAGAGTTAAGATTGATACATAGTTTGACTAATTACAAATGGAAGCTGTGACTTTCTATTTCGTATCATTTCTTCTACTTTTAGTGTTTTTTCTTTAATGATCAAGATTAGCTTGACAACACTGGGGAGGGATTGTTAGTTATTTTTCTGGTCAAGTGAAAATACTTTAAACATTTTTTTTAACTCATTTTGGAAAAAAATCTTAATATGTGAAAATTACAAGGTTTATTCATGTTCTCCAAATGTTAACCTCTTATAGGACAATTGTCCAGATCAGGAAATTAACATTATTACAATACTTTTATATTATCTTATACTGTTGTTCTACAGACCTTATTCAGATTTAACCATTTGCTCCCTTAATGTCTCCCTAGTCAAAGATCCACTTCAGTGTCATATATTGTTTGTCTTCTCTCTTTAGTTCCTTTAATTGGGACACTTCCGTATTTGTCTTCCATGACCTTAGACGTTTTGAAAAATCCAGGTCAATAATTTGTAAAAGATCTATTGGGGTTTACAATTAATAAGTATCTTGTGGGAAATTTCTTGGGACAGTACAAGTATCCTATTTCTCATACTTTTGCCCATTAATTGGTAGGCATTCATACTGCCCACCCCCTCAGTTCTTTGCTGAAATGATTGTTAGTGTACTATTTGCCAAATGATGATTTTCTATTTCTTATCATTCTACTTTTAGTAGTTAAAATTCTACTGCAAAGTTGTCTTCCCTTTTTTTATGAGCATTTTATTTATTTTTTTATTTTGTTAATCCTCCCCTGAGTATATTTTTCCATTGATTTTTAGAGAGAATAGAAGGGAGACAGAGAAAAACATCTATTGGTTGCCTCCCAAACGCACCCCAACCAGTGCTGAGGATCAAGCCTGCAGCTGAGGTTTGAGGATCAAACCTGGGACCCTTCAGTCCGCAGGCCGACGCTACACACTGAGCCAAACTAGCTAGGGCTCTTCCCTCTTCTTTATTCAGTAATTTTATTGATCATGGGCTCAAGTATTTTGTTATTCTGTAGTTTATAACCCATTACTACCATTATTTTGTTACTCAAAATGTCCCAGATTTCCCAATCAAACTCCTTCCATTTATCGCTTGAATTTTTGGCTAAGACCAAGTGTAGTATCTGTTCTTATCAGTTTAATATCTGATATGTCCTCTATCTGAAGACGATACATTAAATAGATTTAAAAAGAAAAAAACTCATTTGACACTCATGTCTTTTTGACACACCCCAACTGTGCTGAGCCAGCTCAGCCAACGGTTCGAAAGCCTGAGTGAGGGCAGTGAAGGATGAAGAATTAACAAAGAGAATAAGCTGGGTCTAGTGGATCTTCCTGTGCCTGGCTGAGGCCATAGAGATTCAGAGGCAAGCTGAGCCTTTATTTTATAGCCAGAGGTAAACAAGGTAGTGGTCACCATAGTTACAATGTTCTTGTGAGTTTCACTTGTTTTGGCAGCACTTGCTACATCTCCCTCAGCCCATTAGCTGCCCAGGTAAGATCTAGGGAGTGTCATAAGGTCAAGCCTAATTATGCTAAGAGGACTGTGTCCTTTAAGCAGGGACTTGTTTGTGGCTTTGCCAACAGGTCAGTCCGAGGCTTAACCCTGTAGCCGCACCCTATACCCAATCTTTTAAAAAATACTCTCTTAAATTTTGGTACCAGAAGATATACTGGACTCATTTTCTCTTCAACTTTTTTACCAGAGGAAAGTAGTCAGAAACCAAAATTGGCACTAGATGTGTATTAACTCATTGGTACTAAGGTGGTATTGCTTCTAGCCTGCCTAACATCTAGACATACATATATGCCTGCTTTATATATATATATATATATATATATATATATATATATATATATATTTTTCTAGGTCTATATGTATGTGTACTGTATGTGTGTATCTCCATGAGTTCATAATGATACTTCCTATACCAGACCAACACCACAGTTCATTCTAATCTTTCTCCTTTCTGTATCTCTTATCCAGCAGTAAGAAATCTGACTTTGACTCATATGTTCACTTATTTGCTTAATTTCTAGAATACACATAGTTTTCAGAACTACTAATCAATATATTTTCCTATGAAAAACCGGTGAAGTATTTGCATATTTTTTTGTTTTGTTTTAGTCTCAATCCATAATCAAAATACTGTTTTACAGCCCTAGTTGGTTTGGCTTAATGGCTAGAGCATTGACCTGTGGACTGAAGGGTCCCAGGTTCGATTCTGGTCAAGAGTACATGCCCGGGTTGCAGGCTTGACCCCCAGTGTGCAAGAGGCAGCCAATCAAAGATTCTCATCATTAATGTTTCTCTCTCCCTCCCCCCTCTGAAATCAAGAATATAAAATAAAATTTAAAAAAAAATACTGTTTTACAAAGTTATGTTGGTTCTTTTCTCTGCTTCCCCTTTCAGTATGGTTATGTTACTCATTTGTAATGCAGTTAATTTGTATTTCATAAATACTTGCCTATTCCTTAACTTTTTTACATGTAAAACATTAGCATAGTCTATCTTTTCTATCTTATTCTCTTCTGTCATTTCTATCTTGATTACCTATAGCTAATGTGTCTATGGTATCTGGTTTACCCTATTTTTTAAAAAATAAATGAATAGATGGGTGTTTTTCTTACATGAAATGTAGCATATTACAGTTACTCGTATGTGTGTGTTTTACAGTATACCATAGAAATTGCCAGTTCATAGAGATCTTTCTCCAAAAGAAATTTTTAACAGCTACATAATACTCCATTTTGTGACTCTATGAGTTTATTCAAATACTTGTCTATATATGGGCATTTAGGCAATTTCCACTATTTTCCAATTACAGTGCTGCAATTGAAAAGCCTTGTGCATATATATTTTTATATTGTTGGGATGTATCTTCCTTCAGGTAAATTCTCAGGTAGGGCTGCTGGGTCAACATATAAGTGGATATGCACTTGTGTTAGACATTGCCACATTCTCCAAAGGGATAATACCAGTTTGTTTTCCCACTAGGAATGCATGAGTGCCTCTTCCCATAGCCTTGCCATCAGAATGTCATCCTCTTTAGTTTTTGTCAAATCTGATAGGTTTAAAATGATATTTCAGAGTAGTTTTAATTTGCATTTTTAGCTATGCATGAGGTTGAATATCTTTTCATTCAATGGCCATTTGAATATCTTTATGACCAGTCTATTCATGTTATTTTCATTTTACCATTGGGTTTTTGGTCCTTTTTCAATTTTTAAAAATTCTTTATATATTAAGTATTTTTATATGTGTTATAAGTAGTGCCTCCTAATATCCTTTGGCTTTGATTATAGTATGTTTTTGTGTGAAAGCTTCCATTTTTTACATAGTAAACTTTGTTCATCTCTTATTGCCTTTCGGTTTTATGTGAATACTTAGAAAGCCTTTCTCTATACTGAGGTTAAAGATGAATTCACCTGTTTTTTTCTAGTGCTGTATTGTTTCATTTTTAAATTTAAATACATTCCTGATCCATTTTGGAATATATTCTTGTGCATTTGTGAGATTGGGATCTAATTTTAATTAAGTGACATCTTTCTAATATTAAGGCTAATCGAGAGCAGTCTGCTTTAGCCTCTTTCAGGAGTGTTTTTAAATTTTTCTGATATAGCCGAGGCCGGTTTGGCTCAGTGGATGGAGGGTCGGCCTGGGGACTGGAGGGTCCCGGGTTCGATTCCGGTCGGGGGCACGTGCCTGGGTTGCGGGCACATCCCCAGTGGGAGATGTGCAGGAGGCAGCTGATCGGTGTTTCTCTCTCATTGATGTTTCTAACTCTCTCTCTCCCTTCCTCTCTGTAAAAGATCAGTAGAATATATATTTTAAAAAAAAAATTTTCTGATATAGATTTTGCATATCGCTTAAGTTTATTCCTAAAGTATGCAATATTTTTTGTTGCTGTTGGAATGGGATTTTCTCTATCTTGTGTGCTGGTTATCTTAGGATATGAAGACAATTAAGTTCTGTGTGTTAATTCTATATCTTCCTATATTTTAGTTCCTTTATTGTTTGAATTTTATCT